TGGGTGGCGCTGGCGGGGCGGGAGGGGGCCCGGTGTTGAGACGGGAGGCAGGGGTTGAACGAGAGCGCGTGAGTTGCGGGTCAAATCAACCCTGCACGTACAGGAGGTGTCGCCTTGCCGCGTTGCCGCGTGCCGCACCCAGGCGTGGCAGGCCCAGACAGGCCGGCATGCTGTGCGGCGTTCCGAGGGCCTGGTGCGACACACACCTCAGTGGTGCCAGCGGCAATGCAGGGACTGGCCCCACATACCCCATCATGCACCAACACTTTGGAATATCACGCTCGTCTCCCCCTTCCCCCGCACGCTCATGCGCGCTGACCCCTGTTGACTGCCCCAGGCCGTGACAGCATGGGCGACGACCTGCCAGATGACAAGCTGCAGATGTAGGGCCTGGTGGCAGGCTTAGGGTTCAAGTTTCTCTGCCAGCGGGCAATCGGCTCTACGGCATGTGCGCCGGCCCCCGCGGCACTGCTTATTTGTGCATGGGTGTGTTCATCCTCACCACTATCCCCAACCTGAACTGCCCACCTCGTCGCAAAGCGCTGCGCCGCCCTCCGCCCGCCCCTCTTACCGGATGCCCTTCGCCCATGCTTGCCCCATGCCTGCGCAGGGCCCCGGCGCGCGGCGAGTTCTACGGGTTCCCCGCCTGTCACACCAATGGCAGCGGCGATCCCTATCTGCGGTCTGCAGGCCAGGGCTCCCCTCTGCCAGACCCTGGGCTCAATGGGGGCGGCCAGCAGCTCAACTGCTCGGGTGCGCAAACTGGCTGGGACGGGTACCGCTGCATTGCGAGGGTGGCGGCCAAGGGCCGACGGGCTGCGATCGACGTGGGGCGGGCGGCTCATGGTCTGCGGCGGGCTGCTGGGGTTCGACGACGGCGTTGGCGCAGGCGCCGTTGCACAGCGGCGTCAAACCTTTGGGACCACGAGATGTCGCAGCAAAAACCTTGAGCCGCGCCTCCACACTGCGCTGTGCGTGCTGCGCAGACCCTCGGACGTACCGCCGGCCTGTGCAGGCACTGGGCCCCCACGTTGCCCCCCTGGGGCTGCGGTTCTACCGGTGGGTGCTGTCGGGGCCTGACCCTTCCGTCGGCTCAAATCTACGCTGCTCCCTTTGCCGCCACAGCATCGGTCGCCCGCCCCATTGATATTGCAGTTGCCACAAGGGCCGTAGCTTGCATGCTTGCAACTGGTGGCTGCGACCAGCACCACCTTGCAGGCAATCAGACGGCTCAACAGGCCCCCAACGCAGCCTCTATCACAGCGCACGCGCGCACAACACACACACACACACACACACACACACACACACACACACACACACATCTTTGCATTGCAGACAAGAAGTTGGCAAGTCGTGGCCCAGCGCTTACGACCGTGCCTTGATCATCGCCGAGCACGGGAGTTGGGACCGCTCATCCAAGATTGGTTACCGCTTAGTCACGATCCGCCTGGCTGACGCCGGCGCGACTGATGGTGACCCGCCCCTGGTGACTCAGCACGAGGAGTTTCTGACTGGGTTTGTGAGCGGCCCCAGGGGGGCGCCAAAAGATAAGCAGGTCAGCTGGGGCCGGCCGGCGGATGTGCAGCAGCTGCCCGACGGGTCACTGCTCATCAGCGATGACGGGGCGCACACGGTGTACCGCCTGCACTACGTGGGGAATGGTGCCGCGGCTGAAAGCGACGCGGCAGCAGACAGCGGCGGCGGCGCCGATCAGGCCCGAAGCGGTGCCGTGGCGGCAGTGTTGGCAACGACGCCACCGCCGGCAGCCAAAAGCGGCCAACGGGAGACAAGAGCGGGCGGCGGGCTTTGGATGGCGCTGGTGAGAGGGCAGGCAGCCGCCCGTGCAAGACGAGCTGGGTGCATGTGTGGGGCATGTATGCCTGGGGCGTGGCGGCTTTTGATACGAGAGGGCGGGCTGTGCTGTGCTTGGAATTGAATCTCGGTGTCCGTCACAAGTGCTGCTGCAACACCCTGACGCTGCAACACCCTGTCCTTGGCTTTCTCGTAATCCCAGGTGGGCGCCCTGGCGCTGTTGGTGGCGGCTGCCGCAGCGTGAGGCGGCACGAGAAGGCCGCGGCCGTCGACCGTTTTGGAACCCTGCAAAACCCCCTATTGGCATTCCAATTGCTTCAGACCTGCCACTTCCTCACGACGATTGCCCACATTCGTTGCCATTGGTGCGCTGCTTGCAGCCCGTCATCTGCTTTCTCTTGATCAGTGCACTACACACTTTGAATTCAGGCGTGATTCGTGCGCTTTGCAGGGGCTCCACTTCTTCAAGCGGGGGTCTGATCAGACCAGGCATTGAAGTTGCTGGCAGGACAGAGTGCCACTCTGCGTGCGTGTGCCATGCAGCTGGGGGTCACCGTCTACTTCCTTTCAATTTCAGCCCCAAAGCAACGCGTGGGGCCGTACTCAGCTGCCACTTCAGCCAGTAACATTGCATAAACACCCTGCGCTATGGTTTGAGGGCTGCTTGAGATTTCTGCAGCGCTTCAGCGGGGCATGACTCCGGCAGCAGGGCGGAGGGACGCAGTGCAAAGCACAGAAAGCTGACATGGCAGTACTCTAGGGGCTGCTGAGCAAGGAGCAGCTGTTGCTGGGGGGATGGGGTGTCTCTAGCTGAAACTTGTACACACGAACCTGACAGTTTTGAAATTTCATAGTCCAAACACTGCTAGCCCGGTCCAAGCCATCAAGCAATTATGTTACAGGTCAACTTCTCAGACGCAATTACACAGCAGCGTGGTGCCGTCTCTGTGGTCAATGAGTCAACCGCTAACACTACTGAAAGTAAAACAAGGCAGCGTATTTGCAACATGATTTGTGTGGTGATTTGCTTATGCAGAAGCCCGCGTTAACATCATCGTAGCAGAGAGCACAACCCAATGAAGGGTGGAAGCGTTTGGTAGGTGCGGGTTGGGGGCAAAATGGCACTCAAGCGGCGCCTGCGCGGCGCTTCCCGTGTACTGAGCACACGCACGTCTGCTGCACGCGTGGTGTTGTCACAGCATTCAAAGTAGCATTGTAAGAGAGAGAAAGCCAGATGGTTTGTATTACTGCGCCATACACTGGCCACTGCTGACTATGAACTTGCCAGCGGAAGTGCCTCCCCCTGCTGCGCTGCCCCGGGGGCAACGTACCTGCCCTAGATAGCACAGAGTCACTCTCCGCCCTGCAAGTTTTGAGGGCTGTGCACAGAGCCTCTCACAACGCAGCGTCAACGCCAGCCACTGGGAGCCGCCTGCAACCCTGCAGCAGCAAGAAATTCAGGTTTGCAGCGCGAGCATGGTTGGCCAGGCGGCCAAGCCTGACCTGCCACTGCAACAGGGAACGTGGGACCCTCAAAAAGCAGGGCGGCGCTCCATGCAGTAGGCCTCTCGACTGATGTTGGCTGCACAAACTGGATTCATTGCAGCGATAGACCTCACCCGTACATCAAGCGTCTGTATGCTTTCCTTCAGCAGGGAGCAGCCGCGGCAGCAGCAGAAACAGCAGCACCAGCAGCAGCACCGCCGCGGCCAGCGCGAGCCGCACAGTCACTTCGCTGCTGTCCCTGGTCCGCGTCCGCAGGCTGGTGCGCCAAGTATCATATATCCGGGTTGCGGCTGCCCTAGTATCGCCGTTTTTACGTCCCGGCCGCGTGTAGGGGCCGCTCTTGGTGAGGAATGGCGGCGCATCTGGCAGCTGCTGCGCCGCCGACGCTGTTGGCTGCCGGGCGACTGTGGAGAGGGCTGCAGCACGCTTCCCCTGTCGTCGTTGCTGTCTACGGCTCTGCGAGTGCAGATATGCAAGCGATGTGTGGTCCAGTACCGGCGCGGGACGGCGCCGCAGCTGTCGCGAAATGTGTCCGCCCAAGCAGGGGCGAAGCAGCAGCACTGCTATGCTGCATGGGCGAAGCAGCAGCACTGCACAACAGGGTACAACTTGCTGTTCAGCACCAAGCTATATGGTGGGCCCAAGGGTAAGTGTTAAGTAGCACGAACATTCAACTGCAATCGAGTTTCTGTTCCCACATTGAGCTCGTGGCCTACCTGAACAACCTCCACAACTTGGCGGATCAGATCGCCGAAATTCATCGTCAAGCTCTACGATGAAGCGATTGGTACAAATGAGTGGGCATTTGAATATGACATGCTCCTGGAATCGCCTTTGCTGCGTGTAGTGTGCAGCAGGTGTGCCGGGACTCTAGGAGCCGAGTGCGTGCGTAAGATAGCGCGTCTGCATAACAAATTCGATTGATGACTAAATCACATTGTAAGTCGAAGGTTTAGCCCTTCTTGACCAGCTGTAGATCGGCGGCCACGAACCCATTGACGCTATCAGCAGCAGCAAACATGGCAACGGCAACGGAGGAGCAGGCAACGACTTCAGAGGAGCAGCCGCTATCGGAGAAGATGCAGAGCTCGTGAGCATGCGTGGCCCCCTGCGGTGATGAGCCGAAGCCGCCTGCGCTGCTTGTACATTCGGCACCGGCGCCGCGCACCCAGCTTTCGCACAATGAATTTGTACACGGCACACTCCCCTGTACCACAAAACAGGCGGACGCCAAGTTGCCACCGGCCTCCTGTGCACTCTGCCGCCCAAACCGCCGGCGTGCCTTTCACTATTGCCCCCCCCCCCCTCTCGCGGCGCCGCACCGCCCGTTCGCGCCTCTCTCACGCCCCCACACCCTCCTTTCCCCCACCTCCCACAAAGCCTCTCGCTGGAGGGTGTGGAGCCAGAGCTTGCGGAGCGCTTCCGGCTGTGCCGCAGCGTGGCGGAGGAGTGCGTGACAGACGCAGACCTGCTGGCGCTGCTGCGGGCCAAGCCCAACCCAGTGGCGTACGACGGGTTTGAGCCGTCGGGGCGCATGCACATTGCGCAGGTGCGTGCTGTGCGTTTGAAAACCATTGACTAATTTGTGCTGACCAGGCCCATTTCAGTCGACGCGAGTGTCATCAAGCGAGCAAGCAGGGGCGCTGCCGAGTCCCGTCGTACGGCAACGGCATTGCTCGCGGCAGCCTGGCCGCCTGGCGGACAGGTACCGGGCTTGCAGGGACTGGAAATCGGGAGGCCCAGTCAATGCAGGGACCTGGCAACCGGAGGCCCCGCTGCTCACCTGGGGCCGCCCATGTCGATCTTCCCAGGGTGTGCTCAAGGCTATCAACGTGAACAAGCTGACGCAGGCAGGCTGCACCTTTAAGTTCTGGTGAGAGGCGGGGGGGAGGGGAGAGTGAAGCAGGGGCAAGCGGGTGGTGGTGCCGTAATGTGTTTGTGTGAGGGGAAGGGATAGGCGTGGGGGGAAACGGGCACGGCACCTTGAAATGTAGTTTGCAGCAGTGGCAGCAGCGGCGGCAGCAGCAGCGGTGCCAGCAGCAGCGGTGCCAGCAGCAGTGACGCCGGAGCGGGCGTCGCTGACGGTGACAGCAGATGCGCAGCAGGACAGTGTGAGGTGCTGGCGATTCGGGCGGCAGACGCTCGGATGGGTCAGCAGGGGGCCAGGAGGACACCCCCCCCCCCCCC